AAGAAAAGAATCCTTGACTGGAATCGAACCAGGACCCTTGAGTCCGCAGGCCGAAGCTCTATCCACTGAGCCAAACCGGTTCTGGCAAGCCCTCTCTTTTTTAAAGTGTGACTGATTTGTCCAAATTATTTTTTTTATTTCTTCCTGTCTTCCTGTGGCTCTGCCTTCTAAATGATCAGGAACTCCAGAAGCCCCTAGTGTACTTAATTTAAGCTCTCATTCTTGTAAAATCAGTCTCAATTACATGTAGCCTATTCTGATTTAAAAATGAAACTAGAAAACAGTATAATCTAATAAAAATTTAAAATACAGGAAAAGTAGTAAGCACATGAAAACTAACTTCAGCATTTTATTTATGACAATCATCAAAAGGTTGAGGAATTAAAAATGATTACTATGAAGTGGAATATAGGCAGTCATTAATAGGTTTTAAAGACTATAACAGATGTGATATTAAGTGGTAAAAGGATTCAGTGGTGCTTAGAGCCCATGATTACAACTTTGTAAAAATTAGATTATGTAAGTTAATTGAATTTTTTAAAAGTTAGTTTAAATTTAACTTCCACTAATTAACAATAAATGAGTGACAGCTTTGTATTGAGTACTATGGTAGGCAGTGTGGGAATAACAGTGAAACCTATAGTGATTGCATACAGTTGAAGTACTCCAATGTGGTTGAAAAAGGTTAATCAAAAAGTTAAACTAGGGGAAGGATGCAAAGTATACCTAAAACATTTTATTTAGCCTAAAACACATAGAAGTGCATTTATCAGCTAATCTTTAGGTAATGAGCAAGAACTTTCCTTTGAGTATGGGTCTGTTGACTGAATAGAAATGAAATAGTGCTTGTGTACATATAACACTTTCTATGTACCAGGCACTGTTCTAAATTCTTTACAAATTTTCTTTAAATTCTCATACCAGCTTTATGAGTTATGCAGGTTCATATAATATTGATGGTATTTAAAAAAATGTTTGACAGAATTTCCTTAAATGTTTAATAGAGAAGCTACTGGGGCCTGGGTTTTCTTGTGGAATTTTTCTTTATTTTAGGTTCAATTTTTGTAATGTATATGGGGACAAATTGTATTTTTTATTTCTTTGTGTGAATTTTGGTAAATTGAGTTTCAAAGGGGTATGTCATTTTTGTCTTTGTTGAATTATAGATATAAATTGGTAATAATGTCCCTTTTTAATGTTTGTAGGATTTGTAGTAATATCCCTTTTTTACTTTGGATACTGATAATTTGTGGGTTTGTGGGAGTTTTTGTCAGATTTATAAAAAAATTTGATTTTTCAAACATACAGCATTTGGTTTCATTGATTTTTCTCTATTTTTACTCTCTTTCATTTCATTAGTTTTTGTTTGCCTTGTTTGTTGTTGTTAATCCTCATCCAAGGATATTTTTCCATTTTTTTCTGGAGGGACGGGTAGAGACAGAAAGAAACATGGATGTGAGAGCGACACAATTGGTTGCTTCCCACACATGCCCTGACCAGGGTCAGGGATCGAGCCTGCAACTGAGGTACAGGCCCTTGACTGGAATCAAACCCGGTACCCTTCAGTCAGTGGGCCAACATTATCCACTGAGCAAAATAGGCTGGGGTTTGCCTTGGTTTTATTTCTTTTGTTTGCATTAGGTTAATTTTGCTCTTTTTATGGTTCCTTATGGTGGACCTTAGGTTACTAATTTGAGACCTTCTTTTCTAATACAAACATTTAGTGTTATAAATTTCTCCCCAAGCACTGCTTTAGCTAGATCTCACAAATTTTGATGTTTTATATATGTAATTAAATATACTTTTTTATTGATTTCAGAGAGGAAGGGAGAGGGAGAGAGAGAGAAACCCAGAGGGATCAAGCCAGAAACCCAGGAATTTGCTCTTAACCAGGAATTGAACTGATTCATAGGTCAATGCTCAACCAGTGAGCAACACAGGCCTGGCAAATTTTGATGTTGTATTTTAACTAGAGACCCAGTGCGCAGGTGGGGTCCCTTGCACAGCTGCACAATCGGGGCCAGAGAGGGACCGCAGGAGGGCTCTAGGGCAGCGGTTCTCAACCTGTGGGTCGCGACCCCTTTGGCAGTAGAACGACCCTTTCACAGGGGTCGCCTAAGACCATCCTGCATATCAGGTATTTACATTACGATTCATAACAGTAGCAACATTACAGTTATGAAGTAGCAATGAAAATGATTTTATGGTTGGGTCACAACATGAGGAACTGTACTTAGCAGTCCATCGCCTTAACCACTCGGACACCTCGTCCATTAGGAACTGTATTTAAAGGGCCAGGAAGGTTGAGAACCACTGCTCTAGGGCGTGTCCAACCCATCTCGCCCAGTCTGGATCATCGGGACCCCAGCAGCAAGCTAACATATTGGTCAGAGCGTCTGCCCCCTGGTGGTCAGCACACATCATAGCTACCGGTTGGACAGCCGAACAGTCGTTTAGGCTTTTATATATATAGATTTTTCTTTTTTTTAAATATATTTTTATTGATTTCAGAGAGGAAGGGAGCGAGAGATAGAAATAGAGTCATTGGTTGGCTGCCTCCTGCATGCCCCACACTGGGGATCAAGCCCTCAATTCTAGCACCGGGATTGGACTGTGACCTCCTGATTCATAAATTGACTCTCAACCACTGAGTCATGCCAACCGGTTTTAATTTTTATTTTCTTGCAGTTCAAACCTTTTTTAAAAAAAATATATTTTATTTTTTAAAGAGAGGAAGGAAGAGGGATAGAGAGTTAGAAACATAGATGAGAAACATTGATCAGCTGCCTCCTGCACGCCCCCTACTGGTGATGTGCTGGCAACCAAGGTACATGCCCTTGACCGGAATCGAACCTGGGACCCTTGAGTCCGCAGGCCGATGCTCTATCCACTGAGCCAAACTGGTTAGGGCTTGCAGTTCAAACCTTTAACACAATTTTTCTGCTTGCAAATTCCCCTTTGACCCATGGATTATTTGTGTTCTCTAATTTTCAGGTGTTTGGCAATTTTCTGTTGTTTCTTGTTAGTGATTTCTAGTTTAATTGTATTATAGTTAAAAAACATACTGTGTTACTTTAGTTCTGTTTAATTTAAGGTTTGTTCTACACGCAGGATATAGTCTGTATTTATGCTC